CTTAGTCTGTAAGTTATCTTAGCCAGTTAAGGCAACAGGCTGAAAACCAGGAGACAGGGAGATCTAGTTCTTGCCTCAGGAATGAAAGCCAAGTGGGTCTTTGGGCCAATTTCTCTCTCTCTCTCTCTCAAGGTTGTTGCTTTGGCGGAAAAAGGAGTGGGAAGAAATATTATGAATGTTCGCCACCTTGAGTTTCTTAAGTAATAAAGGTGGGATAAAAATCTAATAATATAAATAAACCTCCATCTGAGGCAAACACCATGAAACTATCCACAGTAACAAGTGTAATAATCTTTTGGGAGCCTTGGAGATGGTGAATTGTAAAAAGCAATAACTGTTGGGAATTCCTATCAAGCTTATTTGCAGTTTTAAGGATCCTTTCCAAGGTCGGTTTCTCTTACTGGCTAAAATCAGACAACATTAGGTATTTGTTCTTGCGTATTTGTACGGTATTTACTACACAGACAATAAAAATATTAAAAAGAATAATAGCAGGTATATTTCTGTCATAATGGTATAATGCAGCTTTTTATAACAGTCCAAATTCAAAGTAATGGTTTGAAAATATATTCCCAACCATGGTCCTGAGTTTTTGATGAATTCTAATAGAGCAGTTTGTGTGCAGCTGTGATGCTATTTTATCCTAGATTATTATTTTTTTGTATTTTTCATAGTAGACTTTTAGATCCCCAGCCACATTGATATGACATGACTAGTATTTATGTTGTTTTCTTAAAATATTATGCTAATCCCCAATTATTTTATCTTTAAGAAACATCTACTTGGAACCTCACAGAAAGATGAAATGTCAACTTTATCATTGCCTTTTTTGTCTGTTGCAGACTTTTACCCTTGATACTTTTAAATGTCTTAAAATTTAAAAACATTTAAATAACTCAGCAACATTGCATGGGTTGACTGAGAGTTATGGGCTTGTAACAATATATCTGTCATATTACAGAATGAAAAAAGTTGATTTCAAGAACTTCTGCAGTACTGAATTGCATATTTATGAGGAATGGGATATTGGAAGCAGTCATTAAGATAATTTTCTCTGTTTTTCAGCATTTAATTAATGGATACCAAAAGGAAATTTATTGGTAAAGGTGGAAAAACTGGCCGTGGTAAAAAGAAGCTTACAAAAAATAATGGTGAGATAAGTATATTATAAGTTACACATTTTCTAAATCTGACATAGATGGTAGATTATGTCTAATAAGTAATTGATTTAATAGATACTTGTAGGTAAAGTCATGATAAAATATAGGAAATGTGATTTTAACTGTTATATTTAAAGAAATACTTCAGTTAGACTTTTACAAACAAACACATATATGTACACAGAAATAAAGGACAAAATACAGTATATATTTTAAGAATTTAGTAAAATTTACAATTATAGCAGTAAAAATAAATAGAAAGTGAAAAAAGGTGAAAAAAAGAAAGTAAAAGTTAACAGAAATACAAAGAAGTGACTTCCCAACTTCATCAGTGTAAGCAAATTTAGTAATTTACAACCTCCTCTTAAAATCTAATAAATGATCTCTTCTCATATACCATCTTCTATCTATAAATTCTTATAGCATTGTCATTTTAGTTCTGATGCAAAAGTCCGAGAGTTACCACAGATAACATGTGTATTTTAAATTTGATCAAATAAACCAACTTTACATTCCTTCCTATTACTTCTAACACTTTTAATTTTTAGTCCATGTTCCTTCTCATGGGGTTCCTCAAAACTATAAAAAGGCCTCTTTTGTAAATCTAATATTGGGAAATTTTTCCAGGTCACCGTTGCAGTTTATTGTTTGTATATCCTTTCTAATTATTAAGACGCCAACTGGTTTCATTTATGTCTTTTTCCCTGTAATTCTTGTAGCATGTCATTTGTAAATCCACTTTCAATTCAGTCTCAATCTTCTCAGATAAGACTTGTTCCTTTTCTATAGCGTCTTTTAGACATAGCCTCCACAGAGATTGAGATCATTGTTGACACTATTAAAATTAATTTGAGTAAAAAATATTGTTAAAAATATCCTTTCATACATCAAAAGTTAGAATATTTTGCTTTATTCCATAATTATAAACTGAGTTTGTGCTTCTTTAGTTGTAAATTCAACTGCAATCTTATTGTTGTTGTTTTTTTAAGTCCAAAGCAAAAGCATTTTCCCAAGGGAAGGATTCTCAAAATCTTAATCATCCTTTTGCTGTATATTTAACAACTTGTTAAACGTTTGGTTAAAATCTTTTTTTTTTAAAGTAAGGATTGAAGAAAGCTCACTGCTGTCAAAGTTGCCAGTCCAAACATTTCTAATAGCTGAAAAGCAATTAACAAGAAATTTCTTCAAGTGCTTAAAAAATGAAATATGCAAACTTAACATCCTTTCAAAGGTGACAATCATGGTTTAGAAGATGCTTATATCCTTGTCTCCCAGAGCTCTATAGCCACTGGAGACCATTATCTTGTGTCCTCCTTATGAGGAACAGCTGTCTGGAACTCTTATGGGTGATCTCAAGCATTCCTTGTCCAAAGAGGTACTACTGAAAAGCTGGGGTGTATGGGATGTTTAGGGAGGGTACTTGCTGATTCAGCAAGCTAGTTTACTTGCTGAATCTTCGTTCAGCCACACCTGATAGCTCCACTTTTTGTGATGCCACCTTCAGCTCATAGTTTCTTCCTTCATTAGTTATCACAATATATACAGTTTGATTGGGGTGGGGTGGGGGATGGGGAATCAAAATAAGAATTGCATTTTTAAACTTGGCTAATAATAAAAAAAACATATTTTCATTCTTGTGTACCATCATCTTACCCAACAATGTAGGAATGGGGAATCTATATCCCTCCAGATCCTGCCCAGCTACAACTCCCAGCCCCATTTGCATTTAGGAATAGTTGATTGGGACTTCCCGGTGTGTGATTTATCTTTACTACTGAGAGGAGGTTTAATAGTTGCCCATTTGAATAGTAATTATTCCATAATACTGGCAGAGATTGGCATTTGCAATACAGTCTCTAAATGTTGCAGAGCAGTTTTTTCTTTCTAGAGTCCTCACATTATTATTTGAAAATTAAATGCTTGTGCATACTGGTTTTTCTGATGTTTATTTTTCAATCTTTTGAATATTTTGTTTGAAACCAAAGAAGTTTTCTCATGATCTAAGTATGTTTATCAACAATGTGGACTCTACAAAATACATTTTAATTTCAGTTGATGAAAGTACTTGGAGGAAAGGAATTAAACTGTCAAAGCTGGATTAAGAATAAATACAATATAATACTTATAGTATAAGCAAATTGTTTGTTGACTTTGGGAACTTTTTCTCTAAAACATTAAAGCAGATCCTGGTCATCCAAAGAGAGTCATTAGAAAAAATGAAGATATAAAACCCACATTTAAATCTAAGAAAAATGAAAAAGGAGGCAAAAAACCTAATAAAACTGGCGTGAAACATTGGAAAAGTAAGCAACTCTCAGGGAATGTTTCCAGAAAGCGCAAATTTCAAGGTGATACAGAAGGTAAGAATGTGCTTCTGAAAGTTAAATGTATTAATCTAACAGCGGCCTTCAACGGTTTTGCAGTTTTAAAAAGGGTCCTTGGGTAGAAAGGCTATAAAAGAACCTCTGTCACTTCCAAATCAGACCACACCAAAATAGACTCAGGTTTTGATTCAACACTGATACAGGTTTTAGACGAAGAGGCCTCAATTAAAAGTTAGCTATTTCTTCAAAACCTGTCATTGCTGAAATTACAATTAGGACACAATGAATCAAAATTACTTGAAGATCTTGGATGAGAACCCAGAAAAACATAACTTTAAACATTTGGTGCAGTATTAATTAGTACAGATGGTATTCACTACACATTAACCTCGAAAACGACATTTTGTTTATCATTAGGCTCCCAACCTAAAAAGCCTAAGTGGGCTGACATCAAGAAGAAAAAGAAGGAAATAAAACAGAGCCGCCAGCTGAATGAGAAGACCAATTATGACATAATTATTAAAGGAAAACAGATTTGGGAAGCTCTACGTCGGTAATCATCATTGCTACAGTTGTATAGTCAATAACTTAATGTCTTTGTGTTTTTCTTCAGTATAGAAATTTACTTGTGTGGAGGTGATCTTTCTGAACAGTGAAAGATCATCTGCAAAATTAAGGGCTTGGTTGATATTTGGATATGATAAATGTAGTAGTAATGTATGGTGGGCAGGTGGGGGGATAGATGGGTGGGTGGAATTGCAG